TGCTGCTGCAGTCTCCAACTGCTCAAATATTACCACACACTCTCTCTCTCTCTCCGTCTATATCTCTCCATCTCTCTCTCTCTCACACACACACACACAACAGCTCTTTCCACTCATCAGTAGTGATATAATATGATATGGCAGTTGCCCAGGGCAGTATATAGAAAGTGGGGCGCACCACTAGGAGATAGAAAAACATAACTTGGTGATATGACTTCTCAGTTACTCTATTAATTTTTAATAGCTTGTATTCAAGTGTTGTTCATGAGAAGATGTGCCCGTTTGCTGGTGAGAATGGGGAGTATATGCTAAGAGGTTTTGCATGGCACTGCTTTGAATTTTAAAACACTTTGACTGTTAGAACTGACAATGTTTGCAAAACCCATCCATCCATTTTCTTTTGCTGATCCCAAGGTGCTGGTGTATATCTCCAGCTGTCAACGGGTGAGAGGTGGGGTAAAACATGAACAGGACACTATTTCATTCCATCAACTCAGAGACAAACAGGACAAACACACTCTCACATTGGCTTTAGAGAAGCCAATTAACCTAAGGAGAACATGCAAATTCCATGCAGAAAGACCCCGGACCGGGAATCGAACCCAGAACCTTCTTGCTGCAAAGCAGCAGTGCTACCCACTGAGCAGCCGCCTGTTTGCAAAACCCACTTTTATAAAAAGGGATGGTGATATGATACAGTACGGCTCCTATTCATATTTGTTGACACTTTATTTGGATAGTGGGTATTTTATTCTACTGAGAAAGGACACAGTCCTTTAAGAAGTTGACCAACAGTGAGCTTATCTTCTCCTCTTTTTTCATAAATGCAATATGACTGAATATATTCCCTAAAATGTCAGGCTTATAACAGTGCATGAATCATTAACATAAATTGTATTGTATGCTTATTACAGAGGAATGATTAATATGTATACGTTTTTGATAGTGGTGTTTCTCACTGTTTCAAATAATAATATTCACTAAAAACTATTTTGGTTTTAGAGAATGTTAACTAGAGCTTGTGTAATGTTTCCTTGTGTTGATTTCTTAAAGGTATTGTGGAGGATTTTTTTAAAGACCCGCCTTCTCCACTTGAAAAAAAATATGCATGCAAGAGCACAAGCACATTTCTCCTCATGCATTCCCTGTTTAAAATGTACTGTTTTCATAGCTCATACAACCTTACTGTGTCCACATACAGCGGGGACTATATAGTGGACAATATACCGATTTCAGTTAACTGACCATTCAGATAGATGACCACTGCTTTTTGCTCCATGGTGACGTAACTCCTCCTCCACCTGCTCCATCTCTGTTAGTCACGGGCCACTGTGACACCAAATCCTGTAATGTTTCGCGATGAGAGCTCTCCGCGCAAAGCGTTCCGGGGTATATCTGCCTCTTCTGAGGCCTTTCTTTTCTTCTCATATACTTCATAAACACTTTTCCTCTTACGACCCTCGGCCATTTTCAAAGAACCGCGGTGAGAAAGGTGAGCTTCAATGACTGTCTGAAACCGTAGCTCGCCACAGATATTTGTGTAAAAGTGCGCTTGTACAGAAAAAGATAGCTAAAGGGGCGAGCACGTAGGACGGCCTTACGTAAAAATATCACCATAATGATTGACAATTAGGAGGACCACTTATTTAGATGATCCACCCGTAAAAGAAAGATTGTCCTCTATACCTTAAAAGAGAAAAGAAAATATCCAAACCAACTAAGGCCTCCATTTAATCATTAGTGTGTCGTCATTAACCACATCTGGAAAGCAATGCCTTCACCTTAGCCATGTTAACATTACACAAATGTATAGAAATACTGAATAGAATCTATTGAAAATAGATAATGCTTGAAATCACAGTTAAAACACAAAGCTATTGACATCAATCTGGCCAGGCAATAAAAATTACTCCAAGAGTGTATTAAGGACTCATGCAAGAGGCAACAAAATAAGGCTCTGCATGAGTTATTGTCGTCTCTCAATTGCATTTTTGTTTCTTTTTGCATCATTAAGTTTTATTAGTTCCTTGATAAATAAGCTCATCATTTAAAAACAATTTTTTGTATTAACGGGTAAATGTTTTGCTCTGAAAGCGGAGAGTCACTGGCATGAAGCCTAGCTCCTTTGTGAATGCATGGGTGAATGACTGAACATAGTGTAAAGTGCTTTGTAGTCCTCTGACTTGAAAAATGTGCTATATAGCTAAAGTCCACTTTATCTATCCCTTAACCAATGAAATATCTGACACACTCTACTCAAATGTTGGGCTAAAAGATGGTTTAGTTTTACTACATTATTTAGTTTAGATACCTGTGCCCCTCACGCCTTTTAATTAAAACTCAAAAATAAAAGATAAAGCCAAAAATTCAACTTTACAATCTATATTTTTAAAGCCTGTAAAATTATGACATGATGTATATTTCTACATAAATTAAGAAGGGTCATTAGAGTGCTGTGGAAATGGTGTAATGTCTGATTCGTGTAATACTGCCCCCTGCCGGAGAATAGACAAATAGCTCCATATAATATACATTTCTACATGCTTAAACTAATAATCAGTGTCCTTAATAACCACATGTCTGGAACTATTATTTATTGACTTAAAATGTATGCTATTTATTTTTACTTATTAAGAGTATTAATTTAATATTTTGAATTAAAAATGTTTGTGTTCATTTACAAACCTCTATGTATTTTATTGGGATAAAGGGGTTATAATATAAAAGCTCTCCCCTCCTTACACTGATACCTTAAACTAAAGGAGATGCTCTTGGCTGCTACATTATCTTTTAAAATTATATTTAAAAAAACCATCTAAGCCACGTTACTTGTCCAACTGTGGGAACCAGAAGGATGTGCGTTTGCTAAACACTGAAAAATGTTCAAAGCACAGCTAAATATTGAAAGATATACACATCATCATAAGAGCTAAAAAGCTACTTTATTTATTTTGTTCTGTGGCTCTATATTGGATTTTAATGCTAAGATTTTAAGAAATCTCCAGTTCCTCTCTGAATCCAACTTTAGGCTGGCCTTTCCAAAACTTTCCAGAATCTTTTAAAGTTTAAAATTACACCTTATACATTATAAAGGGTCAATAAATGAGAATTTTAGCCTTATTATTTATAGTCAAGAATTGAGTGGCCCTAATGACACTTGCAAACCTTGCATTTATTGAGGTGGGGCTTGGTAGCAAAATATTTGGAAAGCACTGGTGTATTATAGGTTTTCCCAGCCTTGTGTCCGAGGTCACAGCCTACACTGCCAAAAGCACAAACACATGCTGTAATGACCCTAGTATCACTATGCTGCAGCAAACTGACGTGATCTGAACTCGACTGTTTATGGAGTTTTATCAAGAGGAAGATCAAATGCAGGTCGGCTTAATGAAAGCATTCTGGTCTTTATAACCAGAACCACAGGGTTCTTACCTCCATGCTTCACTGCAATGATACAACTAATATGGTATTTGGTGCATATACTACAAAGTATATAAGCATGTTTCTAAACGGGTCAATTGTTGAATCTTAAAAAAACTCCTTTTACAAGTTTTATAGGATTTGCTTAATTAGTCAACTTATTTTTGGTTTTCTTTAGGAGACATAATGTCAGCATAGGTTGTGGTTTGAGGACCCAAATGCAGAGGCTGATAGGCAGAGTTGAGTTCTTGCAGTTTGAATGAATGATCTCAGTTAACAAAGGCAGGAATTCAACTCAAAATGTAACACAAACCAGAACCATGGAGACATCAGGGGAAAACGAGCACGAGGAGCCAGGAAAAGATGAGGAGAGACAAGATAGGACAAGGAACCAGCACTGAGGAACTGCACAGGGAGAGTATATATGGCTGAGTGAACAAAGGGAGGAATAACGAGCTGATTGGGAGCAGGTGTGTGAACAGAGGATTCTAAGAAGAGAGCTAAAGAATAGGAAACCAAGACAAGAGGGAAACAAAGAAAAGCGTAAAAAGTCAAATGTATCCCAAAACACAACAAAATAGAAATTAAACCAATAAAACTAGAACACAAAGAAAAACATGATTCAACATGAAAACTCAAAAAAAGAGACCATAACACATTATCCTCAAATCTGACAAAAAATATATAATAAATGATTGAGTTTTAGCTATTAAACTGAAATACTAAAATACTAATCAATTGTAAATACGAATATTTTATTTATACATATATATATATATATATATATATATATATATATATATATATATATATATATATATATATATATATATATATATATATATATATATATATGCTATCATATATGCTATCAACTGATTAAAATAAAACAAAAAAAATAAAGAAATACAATAAAAATTGAGGAGAGGAATAAGACTGAGTTTGTAAACAGCGACATCTAGAGGATTTTTGTCGCACAACATTCAACTGTTGTCTTTTTTTTTCCTGTCTTAACGGGTACTTACCGGTAGGGGGCGCTGCAGACCTTATCTGTTCATCACGAAGCACGGGAAACCCCTTCAGCACTCCAGCCGTCACTGGTGGTGTGCTATGCCATCCGAGTGAGTAGTCATGACGTGGGCTGTCTGGTTGTGAAGCTGCAGCTGTTTCCCGGTGTCGGTACCAATTCGCTACGTTTGGATAACAAGCATCTACTCTGTCGGTACGCAACACGTATTTAATTTCTTAGCCTTCCTGAGGCTCCTGGTTAATGTGTTCACTGACCGATAAACAGCCTGGTAATGTTAACTAGGTAGCTAATGCTAACAGCTAGCAACTAGCAATAGCAGGACGAAAACAAATATATGATGGGTTTTTGAAACTAGCCAGTTGTTATTGATCTGTAAACTTTAACTTTAATACATCGTATTTTCGGTTTTGATCAGTTTATAGTGAGGAGATTCGTAGAAGTTGTTATTTAACGAGACAACCTGTAACTCCTGTGTGGTAATGTGATCATTTTATGCTTTTTCTGTTAAAAAGTATTATGTTTAAGTGTGATTTCCTCTTTTATCCCTTTAGGTCCACCTGTGATTTATTTTTTAGGTTCCACCTACTTTTTAAAGGTACTGCCATACTGAGAACATTACACAGCTTCTATGCAGTCTTTGAAAGTTTTAAATGGTTTAAAGAACTATGAGGAAATCTTACACTCTTTAAAAAATGTAACTCATTGGTATCTTGATTTTTTTTTAATTATTATTATTTATTCACTGAGTATATTTTCATTTAGAAATTAAGCAGGCACCATTTTGCATTTTCTTAGGAATAAACTCAAAGTAAAAGCAAATTGTAATGTCTAACCAGTTAAAGAAGCTATCTCATATATTTTATATTTCAAATTAGCACAGCTTGTCCATGATGTTCGGATTTTAACCACAGAGTTTGATACATGGTGTGTTCAGCTAGCTGGGGTTTAATCCGCAGAAGTTATTTGCTTTCATGGAGGATTATGATATCCGTATGCTGGATTCTTAGTGCATCTTTACAATCTAGTTTTGTTTTTCAGTTGTTTTCTTATGCAGATTCCATTTTTAAACCTGGGATTAATGGAAAAGTAAGATGTTTGAGTTGGATAGTGTGAAAACCTTGTGTTCTGAGATCATGCCTTATCTGCTCCTGATCTATCGGCTTTAAAGGAAAGCAGCAGGTGTATCTTTGCCCCTAAAATAAGGTAATCTTGGCACAGTTTAAAAAAAACATCTGGTTTGTTGCACTTCAGTGGGATGTTTGCAGATGTTGTCTTGTTTTGTTGCTTTCTGCCGTCTGATTTGATATGATTTACCATGTTTCAGATGCGATATGGCCCGTCTGAGAAAGGAGGAGCTTTTCTTTTTTCTTTCCCCTTGCAAAGAGCGTTATCTCACTGTGATTAAAATCTCAAGTTTTGGAGCGTCGATATCGCTGTTTTCTTAGAATACATCGCAGCCTTTTTTAAAACACGGTTGCTTCTGAATGTTGCCGGTTTTCCTGTGTCTGAGATATAATAAAATATTCTCTGATCCAGGCAGGTTTCCACTTGTCCTACTTTAATACGAAGTAAGATAGAAGCATGCTACTATTTACGTAAATTCTTTCCCCATCAATCATAGTGCATCTTGAATTAACAAAATATGCAGGAAAAGACAGTTCAGAGATAAACATAACTGGGAGGGATGGATTCAGGAAGGGGGCAGAGTTTTTCTTGGTTTTTAATTAAGGGAAACTAATGAGAAGGTGGTTTAAAGCTTTAAGTGTAGCCCCCTATTTTTAAAGCAGGTGAAGATGATTTGGTGTTTTTAAATGTGTTAAACATTCACAGTTCAGTGTTAAATATGAGGCCTGAAGACAAAGAGATGCAGCAATAATGCTCTGTCTGATAACACACTCATGTGACTTCTCTTTTATTACCTTACCAGGAAGTGGGGCTGTTTTTTAAACAGACATTAATTCCCAAATGAAACACAAATGAAACTCTGCAGGATGTGGATATAACAGGTCAGAAAGGAAACATTGTTCAAAGTTAAACAGCTTATTGTCTCACTGCTTTAAGTGCTCTCCTGATTCAACTATGTGGGACGTCGGTAATATTATGGTGAACTTTATGAGCTTAGATGCACCTGCAGAGCCTTCAGATGTTCTAAGAATTGTATTTAGGGGCATCATATTTTTAAAAAGAGGGGCCTAGAACACATATGCAACACTTTTTAGATTTTTAGCTGTTAAATGATTTAGAAAAGCTATGATAAAACTTTCATTGATAATAAAATAAAGTAGATGTCTACATGAAGAGCAGCTCAGCCATGAGGTGGTTCGTATACTGACATGATGGAGGGGCAGCTGAGGTTGACTCCAAACTTCACGTGGCCTTCAGGTTAAGTTTAAAAACTAGGGATGAAAGCTACTGATTATTGAATTAAAAAAAGGGAGCAAAGGGAGAACCAAGGTCATATTGAAACCTATGATTTAAGAATGGGGTGTTGCTTAAGGTTATGTGCGAGTCAAAGCAGGTGAGGGAATATTTCAGGCAATACAGTGTATGTGGAAAGTTTTACAAGATAAGCCAAGCTGGAAAAAAAAATCACTGGTGTAGGGAGGAGTTTTTAAAGCCCATTTTATGTTTTATAGCATCAAAGTACATCCTGGTGCTTTGTGTGTTTACAGACCAAATACTGCTGAATTATTTTGTTTAGTATGAATGATTTGGATAAACTTTTGACTTATCGATTTCTGTCAGAAAACAAAACAAAATAAACAACAACAAAAGTCTGATTCTGGATATTGGTTTGGCCTTTCTATATGATCTTGTATATTTTTTCTTTCAGGATGTGTTTCTGTGACAGTGGGGTGTCCAGGCAATGATGATCACATCTTGGCTCAGAGAAAGGACTTGAGAGAAAAGGATGGGCATGAGTTTCCGGGGCTTCTGGCAGACTGTCTTCTCCACTGCAGTGCTCTATGGCTCACTTGCCCTTTTTACCTCCATCCTCCATAACGTGTTCCTGCTTTATTATGTGGAAACGTTTGTTTCCATCTACAAGATCGACAAAATCTCCTTCTGGGTGGGAGAGGTGAGTAAAAACAACAAAAAAAGAACTAATTAGACAACCAGGTTAACAGGAAATTTTTCAAATCCGTTTCAGTTCACTTTATTTGTGATGCTAATTTACGAAACATAAATATAAATAAATATATATATATATAAATAAATATATATATATATATATATATATATATATATTTACTTTGTATTTAAAGTTTGGTTTAACGTACACTACCGTTCAAAAGTTTGGGGTCACATTGAAATGTCCTTATTTTTAAAGGAAAAGCACTTTCCTTTTAATGAAGATAACTTTAAACTAGTCTTAACTTTAAAGAAATACATTCTATACATTGCTAATGTGGTAAATGACTATTCTAGCTGCAAATGTCTGGTTTTTGGTGCAATATCTACATTTCCAGCAACTATCACTCCAGTGTTCTAATGGTACAATGTGTTTGCTCATTGACTCAGAAGGCTAATTGATGATTAGAAAACCCTTGTGCAGTCATGTTCACACATCTGAAAACAGTTTAGCTCGTTACAGAAGCTACAAAACTGACCTTCCTTTGAGCAGATTGAGTTTCTGGAGCATCACATTTGTGGGGTCAATTAAACGCTCAAAATGGCCAGAAAAAGAGAACTTTCATCTGAAACTCTGATCTGAAACAGTCTATTCTTGTTCTTAGAAATGAAGGCTATTCCATGCAAGAACTTGCTAAAAAATTAAAGATTTCCTACAACGGTGTGTACTGCTCCCTTCAGAGGACAGCACAAGCAGGCTACTGTGGGTACTATTTAATGAAGATGCCAGTTTGGGACCTTTGAGGCGTCTGTTTCTCAAACTAGAGACTCTAATGTACTTATCTTCTTGATCAGTTGTGCAGCGCGGCCTCCCACTTCTTTTTCTACTCTGGTTAGAGCCTGTTTGTGCTGTCCTCTGAAGGGAGTAGTACACACCGTTGTAGGAAATCTTCTCACATGGAAAAGCCTTCATTTCTAAGAACAAGAATAGACTGTCGCGTTTCAGATGAAAGTTTTCTTTTTCTGGCCTTTTGAGCGTTTAATTGACCCCACAAATGTGATGCTCCAGAAATTCAAATGGGCCTCTATACACCTATGTAGATATTGCACCAAAAACCAGACATTTGCAGCTAGAATAGTCATTTACCACATTAGCAATGTATAGAGTGTATTTCTTTAAAGTTAAGACTAGTTTAAAGTTATCTTCATTGAAAAGTACAGTGCTTTTCCTTTAAAAATAAGGACATTTCAATGTGACCCCAAACCTTTGAATGGTAGTGTAAGTTTTCTATCCAAGGTTGTGTTCTTCGGTTCACTTCTGTACCTGTTTGTTCAACAGACTGTTTTCCTCATCTGGAACAGTCTGAACGACCCCCTCTTTGGTTGGCTGAGTGACCGCGCCTTCCTCAGCTCTCCTCAGTAAGTGTCCTTATCTCTTTTCATGCCTTTTTTTTATTTTTATTTCCCAAATAAAAATGCAAAATATTTGCTAGCATTTCTTTTTGTGACTTAAGAGAAAACAGCAATAAATGAAATCATACCTGAATTTATCTGTATTGTTCAAAAGAACTGACTAAATAAAGTTTTTGTCAAAGTTCAGATCTAGGTCTGGTTGTGACACAACCTTAAACATGAGGCTTATTGTCATTGCTTATGCAAACTCTGACAGCGGGTACGAAAACGCACTAATTAGGCAGAGCAGAGCGAGGTAAATCTATGTTAGCAGGTACTAAGTCATCAACTATGCCCCTAACTCCAAAACAAACGTCCAAAACTGGAACTTAGTTATCCGACTTTATCACTATTCTAGCCTCTTTGTAACAGACTCTTACAGTTCAAACAGCAGGATGAACACATCTCTGCAGCAGTCCCTTATGCTACATTCAGACTGCAAGCAAGAAGAGCAGCAAAAACGCGCGTGCTGCTTCATTTTTGATGCTTGTACAAGTTTAGTTCTGACGAGTGGCTGAAGCATATTTGCTGCTCTGGCTGCGCGGTGGAAAAATTGTGGTTCTGATGTGCGTTGGGTGGAGCTACCCTATCCTTTCTTTGCCTGTAACAATGGCAGCTATATAAGCTGTGATCAGTGGGTAAAAAGTAGTTTTAATATGTTTTTAAGTGAGAAAGTCCACATGAAAACTTTATCTGTGCAGTCAGTTCATCCAGATTACCATCCTGCATTCAAATATTATTTTGCTGTCGGAGCCGCTCAGCTTCTCTGATTAGTTGATGTGGCACGTCGAGTAGCAAAAGTTAAATTTTTCCAACTCCAGCAGCTGCTGCGTTTGCAGCGCGTCCCGTGCGTCAGATGCTCAGAAGCTCACAACACTGCTCCTGCTCCTCAAAACGTGCTGCAGGACCTCTTCCTGCGCCTTAATGCGCGTCACTCATTAACTTTGCATGTAAACTAGCTGCTCCTGCTGCCTCTGCTGCTTTAGGTGTCAACATAGCATTAGCCACGGGCTACCACCGCGGCTCCAAACCTCCAAAGAAATGGTCTCCATCTTATCGTGAAGCCATGTTTCCACGACAGGCAGTCACCAAGCGCTCGCTAACAATTCTGCAAGCCTTATTCTTAAAATGCGTTTACCATTTGCTCCAATGCCTCGCAACGACGTCCTTTAGGGACAGCGCGGCCGCATCCAAAACATCCACCTCTGGGCACAGCAATCTAAATGTCCAAACATTGGTAAGGCAAAGTGCATGATGTGCAGATAGACTCCATCACCGTGGGCATCAGTGAACAGTAGGGGTGTAAATAATAATCGTTTTGTATCGATGCATCGATCCAACAGCCAACGATCCGATGCATCGATACGTCTCCGGTCTATTTTTATCCATTTGCTCCTGGGCGTAATTCTCCCTCCCGTACTGCGGTGGCGCTAAACCTATTTTGCCCTCCTACCTCGCTTCCTGGTTTATACTCTTACAGCAGTGTGTTGCAGTGAGCTTGACACAGACATTTTTGAATTATGCTCAATATTGAAGCGTGGTCTGTGCTACACGCTGTGGGTCTAGATACGGCCGAGGCGGCGAGGAAGTGGGGGAGAGTTTAGTCCGACGACGGAGGGACATGAGGGCCAAAAAGAGCGGAGATCCAGGTTGAAAAAGAGTCACAGTGTTTTCGTGCACCTCGCTCTTCTAGCGGGTCAAACTTCAAGAGTTGTTTTCTGCAATTTCGGTCATAAAAACAAAACAATCCGGCCTCCTGTCTGCGGTCGGCTACAATTTGGGAGAGGGGTAGTGGAGGGGGCGGGGACTTCTGGAGCCGAGGTTGAATTGCACTCATTGCACTGATTTTATGCAGTATTTTTTGATGCGAGGCCTTTCAGAATCTATAACGGAGGGGTTTTAATAGGAATAGGTGGAGTGCAACTTTTCTACTTCTTTTATTTGCTGTTGTTTCTAAAAAAAAAATGCATAACGATATTACAGCTTTCATTTGAAACAATGTCTAGCCTGTAATGTGTAAAATAAATAAATAAATAAAAAAATACAATTAATCGAATCGAATCATAGCGTGGTGTATTCTTGAGTATCGAAAATAATCGAATCGTTGGGTCAGGAAATCGATTCTGAATCGAATCGCCATGATGGGTGTGATTTACACCCCTAGTGAACAGGTTGCACTGCTATCCCGCTCTGTCCCGAAACACATGTACTGGTGTCAGATTTTCCCACCATGGTTCCTCCAGACAGCGTTATCCATTTGAAATCTGTGATGTTATCAGTCTGCGCTGCACATTACCATAATGTAGGGCGGATCGTTGGATAGCACGGACAGTCAGATCACCAGCTCCACAGCTGCCTCTTCTCTCCTTGCAGCTCGACTTGAGGCCGAATGGACACAAAAGCATAAGCAATGGAAATCAGACTCCAAATGTCTTAAATGCTGAAAGACACCAGGCTGGGTATCGAATCTGGAACATTCTTGCTGCAAGGCAGCAGTGCTACCCACTTCTCCACTGAGCAGCCCAAATCCTAAACAACGCTAACTTTGTTCCTTTATACCTTTAATAATTTTCAGGTAGGTGATCTAATCATTGATAACAGTGAGACACAATCTTGTAAGTTAAGTTAGTTTGGTTGAATGTTTCATTTCCAATTTAAAAATACTTTGATTTTGACTTAGATTTTTTTAAGTTTAGAAAGTCGTCTCCATTTTGAATTTCCCTTATTTCCTGTCAGTATAAAGTGTTACATCTTCCCACTATGCCAACATCTTACTGAGAGATGTAACCTTGCCTGCTCAGCCAGAGGTGTCAAACCATGAAGCTCTCTCATCCGCTGTTGGTCACAGTGGTTATTCCCATCAAACAGACTGCCACCTCTGTTTGCTTTTCTTTTGTTTTTTTCAAACCAGCTCTGTTTATTAAGAGGGCAGAGAGAGCAAAAAAGAACAGGAAATGTCATATTATTTACTTTGTTCAAATCAAACCTGATCTAAATGTATGTATAAGTTTGTTGATGGGGAGAGAGGAAGTTGATCCCAGCTTTTGTCTCTGGTTGGTGAAGTTTTCTCTGTTTCCCGCCCAGGTCAGGCTCTCAGATCACATCTCCAGAGGTGGTGCTGAAGCGCCTGAAGGCCCTCTCTACAAATGGCCCTCTCTTCGCTCTGTCCTTCCTGGCCTTCTGGGTGGCATGGGCCAGGCCAGGCCTACAGTTCCTGCTGTGCCTGTGTCTGTACGACGGTTTCCTCACCATGGTGGACCTCCACCACAGCGCCCTGCTGGCCGACCTCGCCGTGTCTGCTGCCGACCGCACGCGCCTCAACTTCCACTGCTCCGTGTTCAGCGCCTTGGGCTCCATCTCGGTTTTCCTCTCCTACTCTGTCTGGGACAAGGAAGATTTCTACTCCTTCCGTCTTTTCTGCGTGACTCTGGCAGCTTTTTCCATTTTGGGCTTTTTTGTTGTGTCGCGGCTTCTGCAGCAGCGATTTAACAGGGAAATCCGTCCAAAACAAGATGAGGCGTCTACACTTAAAGAGTAAGAGATTAGAAACATTGTACTGTTTAGGTTTGTTATGGTCTTAGTCGGTAACATGGCTTCATGTGTCTCGATCCAGGCTCAGCGTCGGTCCTGCTCCATTTACTCAATCAGAGAAACCCATCACTATTGGACAGTATCTAAAGCAGCTCTCCAAGCACAGAAACTTCATGTGGTTTGTCTCCATGAATCTTATCCAGGTAAGAAGATCAATATTAAACCTGTATCTTTACACTGTGTTAGGTTTAAACACCAAACACCTTATTCAGCAACCTGCACAAAGAATGACACAGAGAATTTAGTATATTTTACTTGCAAGGAGAGGGGATCAGAAACTGCATTCAGTTACAACTTCAAACCCACTCTGAAGCAGTATCTGCTCTCCAAGCCCTTTATTGAAGAAACGCCCTGATTACAATGTGGTTTCAACCGCTAAAGGGGGAGGGAACAGAACCCAGTTGAAACCAGAATTTTCGTACAACATCATACAACATCAGAGGATAAGGAGAACCCCTCTCCTTATCTAGTTGCACAGTTCTCCATTCTCCTCCACACCCTTAACGACATCTGTTAACAGCAGTCGCAGTCAACATCCCTCCTGCACAGACTTAAAAAACATTAATGACACAGCAAACAAAACTAAATGTTTTAACACTCTTTGTAATATGAGTAAGATAGAGATAACAAAATGTGTAAGTATAATATGATTAAAGTAGAATAACTTATGTACAATTAATTAACCCAACATTTCCCTCCTGTTTATTCACTTTAAGCTATTTATTTTTATCATTCAATAGTTACTTCTTTTCAGATTTTCAACTAAGAAATCATTCTTTTTTCTTTTTTTAGCTGTAAAGGGTACACTCAGAGGTACTTTAAACTGGTGGGTTATTGTCGTTGGGATTAGGATAAAAGTCAGGAAAGTGTAAAGAGAATTCATCCTCTTCGCTGTCTTCATCATCCGATAGGTGTTCCTCAGTGGACATAAGGGCATACATTTCTGTTTTCATGGGTTGTATTGCAGTGGTAATTAGTCTATTTAGCAGCAATCTAATACATGGAATACAACAACATCCACATAAGGTCAGGATGGCGGCAAATATAGCTACAGACATCAAAATAGAAAGTACCAGTTGTTTGTATTTACCAAAAATGTCTCCAGATCCATCCCACATTTTTGTGTCAACTCCAGAATGGTCTTTCATTTTGCTGTTAAGAGAGCGAAGGCCTTCAAGGGCCTTTGTGAGGCTGCCATCTGCAGCGGTGTTGTTGGGAATAAAGGTGCAACACTGATCTCCAAAAATAGAGCACACACCACCTTTTTCAGCTAACAACATGTCAACAGCAATACGGTTCTGGAAAGCCATCAGAGAGGTAGCTGACAATTGTTCATGGACAGCGGAGAAGCCTTGTTCTGTTTTATTTCCCAGCCTCTGGACGTTATAATGGATGTAGTTGATCCTGTCTACATTTTTATTTAGAGTACACCACCAGCATAAGAAAGATTCAAATCCTGCAGAAACTTGATTCACTAGTTTATACTCATCTGGAACACCTCTGGGTACTCCAATACTGTCAATATAAGTAGGGTCATCTGGACTCCACGCATTTTCAGATGCCCTCCTTCTTCTAGTATGCCATGTGTGTGGTAAAATACTGTTTACAGTCGTTAAAAATTCATCCATTGTGAGTGAAGTAATAGAAACAGGTAAAATCAAGGTGACTGCAGCACACAATCCAGTGGTGTTGCATGGAAGTCTGTCAAACAATTTGTCATCTCCACACCACCACCAGATGTCACTGCGGGATTGAGGTTTAAAAAAGGTGGATACCAGTAAAATGCTTGCACATTGTTTTTCATTTAGTGTACCCAATTTTGGGCCCACTCCGGTCCTGTTTACACAGGTGAAATTTGCCACAGCCACTTTCTTCAAAAAGATTGGTTTTTTCTTCTCATCTGTGGTCAGGGGATAGATCTTATCCCAATAGGTGCAATTATCAGTTGGAACTGTATAATTCATTATATTTAGAAGACATTGAGGAGTTATGGTGGCAGGAACCACACGTAACAGCGGTCTGGCTCCCATACACACAAGACAATCATTAGACACTGTTTTAGCTGCTTGTTCTGCCATTAAAAGCCAGTTGTTTGTTTGCCCAGAGATTCCAGTGGTGACTTGAAACAATTCATCCGTTTTAAGCGGGTCATTAATATTTTGAATTTTTATCTGTTCACCTTGGGCAGAAGTAAGAATCCCTTGTATCTCATCTCCTTCTTGTGTAACATTTGCAGAGCACAGATACAATGTCCAACACGGATCGGTTTCACTAGACCGTGCACATATAAATGAGGAAGAACAGCCTTCCTTCTCAAGGGGTTCTGCTGTGGAGTTTATTGTCATAGTGAAAACTTTGGAGGCATGGTTAACAGTGAACCCTGATATTCTACTCATCCATTTCTTAGCTAAAGATGTCCATCCATATGATCCTTTTTTCCACTGTCCAGTGGTTCTGAAAACGTCTCCCCAACTCTTTTGAGTTCTTTGGGCTACACGGGGATATAGGTAGAAATCATAACCTCGCCAATCTCCCGGGTCAATTTTAAATCTTTGCGAGAATGTTTGAAAAAGAATAGTCACTACACTGATTACTCTAGTAGAGTTATAGCAGAGATAGACGTCCCTTTTACAAATAGCTGGCTCATGGGGGCAACAAGAATCCTTGCCCTGAGTGAGAGCTAAAAACAAAACTAATATGAAAAGTTGCAACATCATCTAGGTTCAAACTTCAAAAAGTTTCCTATGGGTAATCTTTTACACAGTGGTCTACTTCCTATGACCTCTCGGCAGAGTTGTGTACAATCATCACCAGTTTGAGACGGTTGTATACTAAAAATACAACCCCCTTTGTACGATGGACTTCCTCTGAAGGTCGGTGAAGGAGACCAAATGCGTATTCTATAACAGGTACCACAGTAGAATTACTAGAGTGCTAAGCAGTACGGTAAGGTTCCACAGAATAATTAAGAAAGTGATTTTACTTATTACTCATCTGATCTAACTATCACTTTCTTGCAATCCATTTAGAAAACAAATCTATTATAACCAAACAGAATTGAAAGGATAAATAGGTTTAGGGAAAGCACCTTTTTTAGGTCTTAAATTTCCTTGAAGATTATGTTTAGCACATATTAGACATGCTTTACAAAAGTTTTTTGCATAAAATATAAATCCATATGCTGTATAATGATGCTCAATGCTCAATCAATCCTACAATCCCCCCGTTTGAGACATGAGTGAAATCATGACTCAATATAGCAGCTCATTCAAAGAAATTTTTTATTTGGAAGGATTGGTTTATGTTCTGGTCACATATAGGGGCCATCATGGATTTTATGATAGTTTGGCTGAATAACATGTTTGTTTCGTTGAATGTCATCCCCACTTCACATGTATTTAATAAGAAATGTTATGTTTAATGCAATGTTACGATGAAATTAGGACAGCAACTAACAATTATTTCGTAAATCGATCAGTCTATCGTTAATTCTTTCGATTAATTGGTTAGCCAAAAGTTCTGTAAAGAAGATTACTAATGACATTAAACCAGGTGAAACCAAAACATTTCCTCCTGAAGAGCTCCGGACGGAAGTTATTGACAGACAAAAACATTTTATATCGTATTTGCAAAATGTTTATAAATTTATTTTACAGTTTTGGTATGATTACTGATCCAAGTGGGTTACTCTGTCGGAGAAAGCCAGATTTTACATGTATATTATGTGTTAGAGTCTCTATACTCCATTTAATGATGAATCACTAAATTTGTTTACGAATATGTAAATAAACAATGAATATGATTCATGTTTTCAGCCACAGATAAAATACATGAGATGGGCAACACAGAGTAACTACAGCCCAGATGTTCAACTTTCATAGTGAAGTTATTATTTTTAATGAAGCATAGTAGGTAAAAATATAAGAGTGGGGTTTAACTCTGCACGATTCTATATATTCAGAAGAAAGTACTGTATTTACCGTCTGTCTCAGTTGTTCAAATAAAATCATTTACAAAGTGGAAAACAGTCCTAATTCCACATTCATCAGAGCCGGTGATACTCCAACATTGATAAACAGCATCTAGTTAGTGTAGTGCTTAAAAATGTTTATTAATGTAGCAAAATGCTCCTTTTTTCTTTAAACAATGAATTCCTCTCATCAGTACTGATGCTCATATCAAGCATAAAAAAAAGAAAGGCATGCATAATGCATAGTACCAATGACACCAGACCAATAGTGTCCCTACCAGGGATGGGATGCCCAGCCTCTGTCTAAGCAAAGCATAGAGCATCCCTGCCTAAGAGGTTAACTGGACATTCAGGTAAAGTCAGTACAGACAGCCGGCAGGAGAGTCCTTCAGGGTCTCTCAACCACACAAGCTGGATCTCCTGCACAGCCTTTAAATGACCTTGAGCTAATCGGACTATGACAGTCTCAGGTCCTTGGCCAGCACCTGGAATTTGTTGTTTAACAGTTGTTCTGCATGCACCACTGTCACACAGGAAAACTGTTGGGGTGCTATTCACATGTATAGTTAATACAACTAATCCTTTATGTTTGTGGTGCTCAATTTACCATTAAAACCGTAGTTTTTTATCCAGTGACACAATGGCTCTACCGCCAATGGGTCATCATTTTCGACTGCTTTCCAATCTTTGCACTGGAGTTCCTCCAATAACTTCTGTTTTTCTTTACTTTGCCCCTTTCCCATTTTGAACTAAATTTGGGCCCAGTGGGTTTTCAACACCTGTCGTGTTCTAAACACTGGGGCTTCAGACAAGATGGTGATCAACGACTTTTTGTGGTAAAACTCACTTCAACCCTTACAGGTGGAGTTTTCTTGTCTACAAACATCCACAAAAGCTCACCATTTAACCCTTGTCTTTTTGGTATGAAATACAGATATCTAGTGATATCTATATTTCCTTACACACGCACACTCACACACACACACACTCACTGCGCAGTTAACTTTTACTTTATTTCTGTTTACTTATTTTAAACACAGAGGACGCCGCTATCCTATGCAGAATTTAACTAGTTTACAACTCGGGGAGCCTGCCCTTACAAACTAGGGGAGCCTGCCCTCCCGCGGACTTTAACTGTTTTAAAATTTCTGTTTTACCTGATAGAGTCTAGAATTGTCAGGGTTTTAGTACAAAAGGGGGACCTCGTTACCCCATGCGGAATTTAACTATTTAAGATAGAGGACACCGCCGTCCTTCACGAGGTTTAAACTGTTTGCAAAGGGGAATCTCGTGACCCCACGCTGAGAGGACTTCAAAAGGGGAATCTCGTGACCCCACGCTGAGAGGACTTCAAAAGGGGAATCTCGTGACCCCACGCCCTTCACTTCGATCTTTTTTTCTTTTTTTTTATATTATTATATTTTTATAAATTTTTTATATTTTATATATTTTTCTTCCAATAATTCACTCACTCCTTATTAAAAGAAAAACTACTCACAATTCTCTGCGTCCTCGAAATGCTTCAACCGTCGGACCCCAGCCTGTAAGGGAGAGACCAGTCCCGTAAAGGGTCTCTTTGCTGCGGCCGCAGGCTTATCTGGATCTCACTCACCTGCTGGGGGTCGTCGGGTATCTTGCAATCCGGCTCGAAGGACCAATTAATGTTAGGTTTAAACACCAAACACCTTATTCAGCAACCTGCACAAAGAATGACACAGAGAATTTAGTATATTTTACTTGCAAGGAGAGGGGATCAGAAACTGCATTCAGTTACAACTTCAAACCCACTCTGAAGCAGTATCTGCTCTCCAAGCCCTTTATTGAAGAAACGCCCTGATTACAATGTGGTTTCAACCGCTAAAGGGGGAGGGAACAGAACCCAGTTGAAACCAGAATTTTCGTACAACATCATACAACATCAGAGGATAAGGAGAACCCCTCTCCTTATCTAGTTGCACAGTTCTCCATTCTCCTCCACACCCTTAACGACATCTGTTAACAGCAGTCGCAGTCAACATCCCTCCTGCACAGACTTAAAAAACATTAATGACACAGCAAACAAAACTAAATGTTTTAACACTCTTTGTAATATGAGTAAGATAGAGATAACAAAATGTGTAAGTATAATATGATTAAAGTAGAATAACTTATGTACAATTAATTAACCCAACACACTGTTTTTTACTTTTTATATATTTTTATAGATTTATATTTCTCTTCTTTTGTTTGTTCTGCAGGTGTTTCACTGCCACTTCAACAGCAACTTCTTTCCTCTTTTCCTCGAGCATCTCTTGTCTGACAACATCTCTGCCTCTACAGGATCAATCCTTCTGGGTAGGAGCTCAGTTATTCATTAATTTCATCATAAAACTTTAGAAAAAAAACAACAAAAAAGCTCATAAAACTCATTCCTCTGCAACTGTCTTTTAAAAGGCATTCAGAAAATGGCACAAAAATGAGATAAGTTGACAAACAACCTTGTTTAGATGCAGTGAAATCTTTCATTGACTCCGGTTGTGTTGAGTTTCTTTATTTTATTTGAAAAGTTGTCTTTTAAATGTTTTCTTACCCTTCAAACTTTTTTTTTTCTTTTTTTTTTTTTTTACATTTTTCAACATAAAAAAGAGAGATTATATTTTATCTTGATTGTGTATTGGTGTAAAAAGAAATCTCAACTCCCTTTTGTTATTTGAAATTCAGCCTGCTTTATTCTGATGTCCCAAAATAAAATCCAGGGAAATTAATTGCTTTTAGAAGTTAAATTAATTGGCAGATTAAGTCCTGAGAAGGCCTCAGATGTTTGATGGAGATCCTTAGTGGCCCAATAGGATCATGAAGACGGTCAGAAGGAAGGTGGAGATGTAGAGTGAGGGTATCAGTCAGTAAAACACGCCTCAGTGATGTTTTTTTTAATATTTCTAAATTAAAAGAACTAAAGTTGTTCCTTCCCTGAACTACGTTGTTTTAGTTTCACATTAAATCCATTTAAAGTACTATGTGGTCTTAAAATGAGAAAATGTGGAAAAGGTTTAAAGGCTGTTAACAATTTTTCCACTCTTTATGATAACAAATTAGCTTTGCATCAAAACATGATCATCTAATTTTTTTTTTTATTTGACCATTTACTTCCTGAAAATTTATTAGACATTAACTCACAATTAAGGAACCATTTATCTTCTTAATAGGTCAGTATTTTTATGAATTATGGTGACAAATATAAATAAACTGGAATCTTATCAACAGTAAGTCATAAATGGATTATTTTTCTCTGAGGATGTTGTTTTTAAACCCATTTCACTTGGAGTTCTGATACGTCTTTGGTCTATTTCAGACTGAATGACACATTTAGATAAACAGCCTGAAGGTGGTGCAGATGTGATCAAAGTATCATCGTCTAGGTCAGGAGTCGGCAACCCAAACTGCTCAAAGAGCCATATTGTACCAAAAAAAAAACAAAAAATAAATCTGTCTGGAGCCCCAAAAATGTAAAAGTCTTATATAAGCCTTGTTTGGCAACATGGGCTCTATCTGTATTATCCCACTATAGAAAGAGCTTAAATATATAAGCATTCATGACTAAATGTTTATCCTGGAGCAAATGTGACATAGTAGCATGAGGTGAGGGAGGAGCAGTGAACGCTCTCACCGCACGCCGCTTCACCGCCATTCACCGCGCATTTTAGGTTTTTGTTGCATTGATGAAATTATAGAAACACGATAAAGGAATCTTTCTCTGGTGGACGTGTTTCTGTTGGGAGGAGTTGATTTAGTCATGAGGAACCAAGCTGGAACTGAGCAGAGCTCTCTAACCCTGAAATCCCACATCCTCCGTCACCAGCGTTCCTTGGTGTGATTTATATTTTTAGGATTTGGGGAAAAAATGGAAGAAAGCTCACATCCCTGCATCAGAGCGCTACCTGTTTGATCTGTGGACGGTTTTCCATTCAGGTCGGCTGCATATTTAGCTTGCCTTCCCTGGAAATGCCTTTCCAAAATTTTATTTTTTGACAACCGTCATTACAAAGTAAAAAGGCAGGCAATCCTTCCACATTGATAATGAAAGCAAATGATTCGGTCCATTCTTTTAATCCTGTTTTCTACGGAAGAGGATCAGGGCCACTGGAAAAAAAAAAAAGTTTACTGATTTTAAAATTTTATTTCAATTTAGTATGGGAAAAAAGTCAGAATTCTGACTTTTTTTCTCAGAATTCTGATTTTAATCTCAGAATTCTTACTTTTTTCTCAGAATTCTTAGAGCAGAAGGTCATTTAAACAAGAGTGCTAGTCTGTAAAACAGACATGGCTATGGCTTGATGCTAATATGTTTGTTATCCGTCAGAATTCTGAGAAAAAAAGTCAGAATTCTGAGATTAAAGTCAGAATTCTGAGAAAAAAAGTCAGAATGCTGAGACTAAAGTCAGAATTCTGACTTTTTTCCCATACTAAACTGAAATAAAATGTAAAAATCGGTTAACTTTTTTTTTTTTTTTTTTTTTTTCAGTGGCCCTAATCCTCTTCCGTAGTTTTCTCATCAAGTATCTTCCTTTTTCCCCCCATTGGGATCCATGGTTAGAGACACACCTGCAGCTTTGTTTGCCTGGCACTGCGCCACACTGGTTGCAACTTATGACCACTGATTTCTATGGCTCTGACGCAAATTATTGTTTAAATTTGTTTATTATACACATGTTGTCAGCATTGGAAAACATAATTAATTTTTGTTTGACTTCCTGCACACCATATTAAAACAAAAAATCAATTTTCATAAAATTTTTAAAAAGCTCCAGGGAGCCGCAAGGGGGACACTAAAGAGCCGCATGCGGCTCGCTGACCCCCGGTCTTTAAAATTTTTTGTACCGCATGCGGCTCGCTGACCCCCAGTCTTTAAAATTTTTTGTACCGCATGCGGCTCGCTGACCCCCAGTCTTTAAAATTTTTTGTACTTGATTTCTTTTGTTTGTTTGTTTTTGTTTTTTTTCTTAAGACTTGTAGGACTAAATCACACAGCTTTGCATTTTTATTTCTCACTCGACACCCCTGTTTTAGTTGATGTTCAGTTGATTTAATCATAAACATAATAATTTCTCCTTTATTTGCACATTTTGTCACACATCAGCTCCACTGGTCTTCAAAGCTTTTATTTCATTATTATTAGTATTTTTCTTTGATGCAGCTCTGCTTCTGCTTCCTCACAGGGATCTCTTACGTTGCCCCCCACCTGAACAATTTGTATTTCCTGACACTGTGCCAGCGTTACGGGGTTTACCAGGTTATCCGCTGGCTCTTTATCATCAAACTGGGACTTAGTGTGGTTATGCTGCTTGCAGGGGCTGACCACATTTATCTGCTCTGCATCTTCATCGCCAGGTATAGCAACCATCGATGGTCTCTGCTTCCTTTGTTTTTATTTTGCTGTTTGGTTTAGGGAATTGTGACCTGTAGTGTTCACACCGTGTGCAGAGACACTTAAAGGATTCCTGGAGTCACATCATGTGGTAAATCACTAACTGTTCAACTCTTGGTTTCAGTAACCGAGTGTTTACAGAGGGCACCTGCAAGCTGCTGAAGCTGGTCATTTCTGATCTGGTCGACGAGGACTTTGTGATGAACAGACGTCAGCAGGCTGCCTCAGCTCTCCTCTTTGGGATGGTCAACCTGTTGACCAAACCGGGACAGACTTTCGCCCCGCTCATCGGCACCTGGCTGCTCTGTGTTTACACAGGTAATCGAGATGTTATAGTCGAGGGGCATACAAAATAATTTATATTTGTTTCCTTTAACCATCCAACTTGTTTTAAGTAATCCTTGTCTGTTTTGCATATCCTAATTGAAAATAGTGACTGCACTGGAAAAAAATCTAAAACAATTTACACTCAAAAGAAGAAAACACAATTGCATTACCTTATTTCGAGTGCATATGATCTAATTATCTTTTTCTAAGAGTAAAAATACTCATTCCATTTGCAAACTATCTTATTTACCTACTCAAATTAAAGGTAAATACACTTAATTTAAGAAATTTTTACTTATTTCTAGATTGTTTGTCCAGTGTAAAACAGCCGAAACTGCATCAGTCCAAACATAGACAGACAACACAGACCTGGAAATAATAGTTATTTTTTCAATAGAGGTGACAAAGACTTGCTTGATAGTAAGAATGTATCCTTATATTATATATATTCTGTGTCATGTCAACCACAACTGTGTTAAAAAAAATAAAATAAAAAAAAATCAGACCTTTAGGTATAAGAGTCTGAGCTGCAGTACCTTTTAATTTCTGGTGCCACCAGCGTCTTTCAACCTCTCCAAATGTCCCAAATTATGCTATTTGTGCTTATCGCTTTTACACAACAATTTGCTCCAAACAATCGTTTCCATTTTTTCTAACATTTCCATCTAATGATCTAATAGTGCGCAGTAATCCAGGCTCTGCTGCACCTGTTTGCTGTTCCGTAAGGCAATACCAGGGTTCCCGCGGGTCCTTAAAAAGTCTTAAAAGGCATTAAATTCTTCAAAATAAAACTAAGGCCTTAATTGGTATTAAAATGTCTTAAATCAGTCTTTTGTAGGTCTTAATTTTTAAAACATCATAAATAGGATTATTTTTATTACGATTTATTTTTGTAATCTTTTTTTTCTATTTAAAAAAACTTAACAGCTCGCCATTATTGGTTCCGTCCCGATAGCAGAACCAATAAAACGTTGTTGCGGCCGGGACATTTGGGAGATGCGCTATTTGCTTTTTATCTGGAAAATATGAGCAAGTGTAAATGTAACGAAAAATGGCTATCCAGCCAAGAGTTTTCTCCATGGCTAAAACCAGGGAACATATATGAGGCACAGTGTATTTTGTGCAAGAAGCGATTAAAGTTGGAACGATGGGAATTAAGGCAGTGGAGTCGCACATGCGAAGCACGAAACACAAAGCATCAAAATGGAGTTACAGAGAAACAGCCGGTATTTCTCAGTTTAGTTCCACCCTTGTCTCTGCAACGCCTCCACTTATCACCAAAGCAAACATACTAAGAAAACGATACAAAGAAAAATAGCTGCAAAAAAGACTTAGCACTGGTTATGTTGTGGCTTTAAAACTGAATTGTTTTGTTCCCTGCTAAAACAAAGTTTGTGAATTCAGTTAAATAATTGTTCAAATATATCTTTCATTTGTGTGTTTTTAGTTTTCTTCCTGTATGGGAAGCTTTTCAAAATTTGAAACATTAGTGCAGTGGTTTATGTTAAAATAAACCTTTGGGTTAAGTTGTCACAAGAGGTTTTTTTTTCTTGTGTTTCTTGTGAATTTGGTCTTAAATTTTTATTTCAAGTGGCATTAAAAAGTCTTAAAAAGACTTGAATTTAACTTGCCTCATGCTGTAGGAACCCTGAATACACCAGGTCTGCATTATTCAAAATAGCAACACTTACTCCTCTTTAAAAGCTAATTGAATTTTCTACAAAGCCATAAATGTGGTCTTAACCAATAGTAGTTGGACTTTATGAGGCATAATATGATGGCACTCTGTGCTTACGGCTGTGACTGATGGGGAGCGCTTGTTATATTTCAAGAGCTGTTCCGAAGTCAAATATAAACAGAAATCGATGAGGAACCTTTTGTGTTTTAGGCTGGAAAGTGATGAAAACAAACATACCAAACATCAAAAGCAAATGTTTTGGGCAGTAAGTCTTATTAGTAAGTCTTTTTAGTTTTAGGTTTATTATTTATACATCATGTGCATTGTTATTCTGTTAGTCAGATTAGACAGGCTATAAGAAGCAGGTGATGACCTTGTTCGGGGCTCAATTTTTGCCGGACGCTTGAGGACGTGATTTTTGAGCCCACAGCTGTGCAAGCTACAAGCATTTTCTCTGTCCTGTAAAGACCTGATCTGGAATAAACTCTGTTATTTTTTATAGTCCTTTTTTATATGGTTTTACCCAGTTTGAGTTAAGAGTAGTAAATAACTTGGTCCCAGGAAAAGAACCTTGAGGAAGCCCCCGAGGCGCAACGGCTTTTTTAGGGGCCATAACGTCCTCATTTTAACATTAGCATTAGCTCTGACAAGCTATCTGACCAGGAACATGGATCGCTGATGTGAGCAACTGGCTGAACCAAAAAAATAAAGGCAATGCTTTATGCAGAGCTGAACCGTCAAAGCTCAGTAAATATTTAAAATTAAACTTTATCTTCTGTGTACAGGCAATATTGTTTGCCTTGTTGCTATATGTATTTTTGTATAATATGTAGGACAAGGACGTGTGTTATAATAATGTTAATGGCCTGTTCACACTTCTTCAATGAAGTTGCATAAAATATCAGGGTTTTCTAAAAAAAAAAAAAAAAAAAAAAAAAAAATAAAGTATAACTTTTAATACATTTTGGACATAAAAAGTTGTCCAGGTTTTTTTTAATTGATCTTTATTTTTTATGGTTTAAAGTAAAAATACAGTTAATTGTGATAATTTCATTCAATTTCATAGTCATTTCTTTTTTGAAGGAAATAAATTGTACAGTCTTTAGTGCTTTATATTTATCTTATTTATATTTGTCCTAAAGCATCGTTTTCTTTTTTTATTATTTCCTTACCTTCTTAAATAATATTTCCCCTCTCTATCACAAAACATTTTATTTGAATGTTGTGTTGAAATTGCTGGTTCCTTTCTTTGAACATGATCCTGAACAATTTGGAATTTTTTATTTAATAAGGTCCCAGAATTTCAGTATATTTTAATGAAAATAATGTATTTGTATATTCCCAATAACCCACTTTATCAAGTATTCCTGTTGATTTTTTTGTATTAATTAAAGTAGCTAATTAATTAATTAGAGACCCTGTTATCAACTCAATTTAAAAGTTTAATCGCGTCTCACCAATAAAAGATTAACAAAACTTAACAGAAGAAATGAGTCCTAAACTTTTTTTCTTCTTTCTCCTCTCCAGGTTATGATATTTTCCAGAGGACGCCGGTGAAGGACTCCTTGTCTGCGTCCGACTCAGGGACTCCGCCTCTCCGCCTGGGCTGCTTCTACCTGCTGGTGTTCGTTCCCATCACCTGCGCCGTGATCCAGCTCGCCACATGGTCTCGCTTCACCCTTCACGGCCGAAAGCTGCAGGGAATCAAGTCCCTGCGGCAGGGGTCCCAGCAGGCCGGTCTCATCGATGTCAAGGCCATTTGAACCGAAGGAAAAGAAGTGTGAAGCTGCACAAAGACACTTTTTAAAAGAACAGTTTTTAATGTTCATCTACTATCTTAAGAAGCATAAAGCTGCTGTGTCTTCACTCTCCTTCATTGTGAACTATTACATCACTTAAAGGAACTCTTTTTGTACTAGAAAAATGGGAAAAGTCTTTGATCCAACTCAAACATGCCTTATTTTTTTATATTGAAATTCAGATTATATTTATATTTAAATTAAAGACCAAATGTTAGCATTAAACAGCCAATCCTTTTTGGACCAAGATAAAAGCAGTTTTAACAGACATGTACATGGTTAAAATAAGTCGTGGAACTTTACTATCCTCTCTGCCGTTATTCCTTAACTGCAGCCTGTTTATCCAAATCAGGAAAACCGTTTTGCAGCAGATCTAGAGTTCTCATTTGTAACATTAAAGAGAATGAAGGCTGGAATACAGCTGTGTTTAATTAAGAGTGCCATTGATGCAGCGAAAAACTGCAACTAAATACATTAATTTAAATATTTACTACTCAGAAAGACCTGCCAGAAATGTATTTTGTAATACTTCAAATACTGAATGCTTGTTTGTCATTTGTATTTTATTTTCTGACTCTTTTTGTCATATTTAATTGTTGTAATTAGGAAATTAAGGTGAGAAATTATTATAGCACTACTTGCAGCTCACTCTTTATACATATTTATGTTTAGCTCTATGGTCAGTTACACTGTTATCAGGCAAAGAAATAAAACCTTTTTTTCCACCTTGAGTTTTGTTTCATTTTGGTGATGTTTGATAGTTTGAATTTTTTTTATATCAATGGTTATCAAAGGCTTTGTCTTGAATATGTGAAGTTTAGTTTTTAATATACTCACAGTTAATTTTATGTTATCTAAACGTATGCACATTACAGGGTTTTTCATTCGTGTTTTTTAAAGTGGTATTTATGGTGGTATGTTTCTGTTTATTAGTTTAGGTTCAACTGTTTTATGTTCTTGTTTTAAAAATTAAAAAACTTATGTTTTTTTTTTTTTTTATCATAGGATTCTTAGGTTTATATAGGGTTGGAATCTAACTCTGGGCTCTTGAGGATTTGGGACGTTTTCCATGCAGGAGTTCTCTTTGTGTTCTGTGGCATCCTCCCACTGTCCAAAAACAGGATTATGTTAACCCTTTAAAGCCTGAACCAGGAAATAATAGAAGATTCTTTTTTCCAAACTTAGAATTGTCATTAAACTTTGTGACAAATGAAATAACTATATAAATTTTGTAAAAACATTAAATTACATCATTTATTTGCATCAATTTTGATATATTACACATTTCTATATAATCTTTTATATGTTTTCTGTTCACTACATGTGTCTGATTATGTAAGTCAGGGTTTCAAGAACCAAAACATCCTACTGATGATGCAGAGGTTTCAAAATCTCCTGTATCAAATATGATACACTTGGCTTTAAAGGGTTAACATTAGTTGTACTTTGGTTTGATTGTGTTCATGATTGTTGGGCCTATTTTTCATTGATGGACTGGTGACCTGTCCAGCATGTACTTTGTGTCTCGTCAGACAGAAACCCACTTTGTCCCTGCAAGGATTGATGGATGAATGGTTGTTGTAACCTTATGTGGTGCAGGCACCTAAAGTTTGTTTGTCAATATTGTGGTACTTCCATATATCAAATATCTAATGCTTTTTTATTGTTTTATTTCCCTCCATAACAGAGATTTCATCCCAGTACTGCGTGTCCAGAGCCAGTAACATTATCAATGACCCCTCACACCCCCACCATGGACTGTTCATCCTGCTGATCTCTGGGAAGAGGCTTCTTCCCCACTGCCATCAGACAGCTGAACTATTGAAAAAACTCTTAAATCATGTCAGACTCTGCATCAAACTGACGACACCAAACCAAAACACTGCATAATTAAACCATATATATTTAATGCTCTGAACTTCCATATCAATGCATCTTTTTGCGCCATGTTTTCTCTCCCACACAGTTTACATTTGATCACTGCCACACTTTAAGAAATGGAAAAGTCATGAAAGCTGTACAAAATTAATTTTAGTTTTGTTTACACTCTGTGTATATGAAATGACAATAAAAGTTGTCTAAGTCTGCTCATAGATCCAGAGTGGCAGTCTGTGGGAGTAGAGCTCGAACCCTTAGGCTGCCACTCCCAAGCTTATATACATTTATATTTATTCAGATAATTTTTTCCTTAGTTTTATATGTTACAGCAAACGGTTCAGAAGAATACGGAAGAGGATTAGGGCCACTGAAAAAATAAAGAAAGTTAACAGATTTTTTTATATCATTTCAGTTTAATATGAATTCTGAGAAAAAAGTTCGAATTCTGAGATTAAAGTCAGAATTCTGACTTTTTTTTCTCATATTTTACTGAAATAAAATTTTAAAATTGGTTAACTTTATTATTTTTTTTAGTGGCCCTAATCCTCTTTGTAGAAGAAGCATCTATATGAATGCTGTTGGTTGAATTGGGCAGGTGGAAAGCTGTCAGCAAAAAGAAAAACACATAAGAAATGTGGTAAACTTCTGTTTATAAGGCACAAAGTAAAGAATAATTATTACAGTTCTGTTTTACAATGTATGAGTGAATATATTTAGATTTATATATGTAAATTAAACAGAATTGGGCGAGTTGTCTTTTTATGTATCCGTCCCCATATACATCCTTGAAACCAAAACAATCAGTCTTGGGACGCTTTTCTGTGTTCCCAATGTTTACATTCGCCATGTGAGCATCAGAAAGCGTACTTCCGTCTGTGCTCTACAGCGCATGCGTCCATTTTAGGAACTGAAGATAGTTCCTCATTATAACATCCTCGTTTTGTACGTTATTATTACTAACGAGTTAACCGCCACCAACCGATAAACTATTTTACTTGTATATTTATATTGCTGAAGTAGCTGCACTCGCTCAAGCAAATATCAACCATTGAGGATATACACAGGTACCCAGCATGCACCGCGTGTCATGCTTCACTGTTCATTTTCTGTGGAGTTTGTAGTTATCAAATACCTTAATTGGCATGTTCTGTATTGATATTTCGAATTTCCATTGATTTTTAATGTTCTTTTAAGTTGAGGGATTTTGAATTCGACGGCTTGAATTGAAACTTGAAATCGTTGTTGACACCGTCAGTGTGAAATGTGTGTCGGAGTATAAATAGCGGTTGTTCTCTGCTCTTAGCATACACTCATGTTTCTCTTCAGATCGTATAAATCTTTCGCCTTTTACTAAAGATTTCCGTGGAGAGGAACAACATGAGTTTTCTCTAATTTTTTGATGCCCTGCATCTGGCGGGGCACACATAGTTGTTAAATGATAAACTTAATTGCAGTTCTTATCAATATTATAGTCATGATTTATGATAATAAAGATATGTGCTTCAACACGGCAATTGTATTTTTTGCTAGAAACCGGCTCATTCTGAGAGGCAACAAATGTGGGAAATGGGTAAAATGTGATCATTTTACAACAATATAATAACCTTTCTGCGACTTTGTGTACTTTGGAATATCAAATTATTGAAAATGTACCTAAGTTAAATAGCGTTTCTGAGCATTGCATCTGCTGAATACGGAAGAGGATTAGGGCCACTGAAAAAAAAAAAAAAGTTAAGAGTTAAAAGTTTTTGTTTTTTTTTCAGTATAGTATGGGGAAAAGTCAGAATTCTGACTTCTGACTTTTTTCTCAGAATTCTGAAATTAAAGTCAGAATTCTGACTTTTTTCTCTGACTTCTGACTTTTTTCTCAGAATTCTGAAATTAAAGTCAGAATTCTGACTTTTTTCTCAGAATTCTGACTTTTTTCCCATGTTAAACTGAAATAAAATTTAAAAATCAGTTTACTTTTTTTTCAGTGGCCCTAATCCTCTTCCGTAGCTGAAGGACTACTTTAACTTCTGTAGAAATATGTTTTCCCACCTTTGGCATGAAATCTCAAACCTTACTAGGATGTTTTGTTCCAAAACGGGACAGTGTGGCAACTTTATAACTCTAAAATATAATAATTAATGTTAGCAGAGTAACTCACGCAGACAACAGGGGATACTGTAGCACATCAACCAGTTTCCTTCAGACTGGTGCCCTTTTATTTAAACAAACACAGGCGCATTCATTCAGTCACTAATTAGGTCCCATGACACTCTGCAATAGGGTTGCTTGGTTCCGAAAATAAAAGTAAAAATAAACAAATCAAATGAAAATGAGAGCACAATATTTATAAATCTCAACAATAAATTATCCAATTTCATTTGCTTTTTACCTGCGTAAAACAAATTATGCTATGTATGTATATAATTTTTGTTTCAAATAGTAATAATTTGACTATCAAGTAGAACAGAGGTCTTCAATTGGGGGTCCGCGACCCCTATGGGTCCATGGAGGTACTGCATGGGGGTCGCGAAAGTTTTGGTTGATTACTTTTTTTATATTCCACCTTGCAATTTTTTCCACTAATTGAAATGTCTTTAAAAACACATTAACATGAATTCAAAACACTGAAGTAAAGAGAGGTAGAAGATGTCTTTCAGGCATCAATACACACATTCAGCGACACACAGGAGCTCTTTCAAGCTGGGCACCGTTTTATTCACAACACCTGTCCCATCAACCAGGAATCAGAATCAGAAATACTTTAATAATCCCAGGGAGAAATTACTTTCGTTACATTACTCCATGTGTAATAGAGTGACTATAGGACCAGTCTAAAATAACTAAATTACAGTAACTAAATTCAGTTTATTTCTATAGATTAGATTTGAGATTAGATGAGCTTTATTGATCTCACAGCGGAGAAATTCACTCGTCAAATATTGGCATAGAAGTTACAGAAGGTGCAAACAGGGAGGAAAAAGGTGCATTAAGAATAAGCAATACATATACAGTATATCCAGGTATATACAGTATTTCAAGATAAATAGGATTAAGGTGCAAGTGTACATGTATCGCACACAATGAAAAACAAAATAAAAATAAGAAATAAAAAAAAAATAGCGGCAATTCACAACACATCATCTCAAGGCGCTTTACAGTTCACAAGATCATCCAGTCAGATTGATTCAAAGTTTTCTATCTAAGGAAAACCAGTTGATTGTATCGAGTCATTAACTCAAATCCAATCCCTCACACTAAGCATGCTTGTAGCGACAGTGGAGAGGAAAAACTCAATTTTAACAGGAAGAAACCTCTAGAACCACTGGGATTCAAGGAGACAGAAGCAGAGATACAAAAATGGTAAAAAGCGGCCCCCTTCCAGGAAACACACAGCCAGGCAGAAGAACTCCAAGCCAACTTGATGTACAAGTAATGTTCATAAATAATGAGGTGAGAAACAAAAGGATTCTAACCAAATTAACATCTCTGTTGAATAATGTTTCCCACCCCATGCATGAAGCTGGTGCTGAACTGGAGAGCTCCTTCAGTGACAGACTGCTGCACCCTAAATTATCAAAGATCCTTCCTCCCAGCAGCTGGAAGACTCTAGAACCACCACTGTTCCCAACTACCTCAATAAGTTGTTGCACAATTTCTACCTTAGTCAGTTAAATAACATGCTTCTGTCATTTTGCACACCTCTGATGTTGCTGCTATTTTTCAAATAACCATTACTGCAAAAATGTCCATAGTTGCATATTGGTTATTTATTCTCCAGGTGTGCAGTTTTATATCGTTAAAACACTTGACAGTACAGTATTCTATTGTTTATCTTACCGGTAATTCTTCGCTGTTATGTATT